AAGTCGAACATAGCCAAATGAAATATATATATATATATATATATATATATATATATATAAATAATCAAATGTATATCATATCATATCTCATAAATCTCTTTCTTATTTTGCAGGGAACCTTTACCTAATGACAGTACTGCAATAGTTACAATAGTTGTACAACATTCTGATTTGATATCTACAGAACCATCTAATTTTATTATTACATCGGGGGAAAAAATAGAATGGGTTATTTATGTAAAAGGTCTGAGCGCGGGTCATTCAATTGTTAGCGCTAATATAACTCCCAGTAATATTATAGAGTAAGTATATGTGATGAAACATTTTATAAAGATATCGCGAATTTTGTATATTCTAAGTTTTAAGCTTTAATCAACTACTATATATAGTTGTGGCTGATATAACAAAAAACATGTATATATTTATATATAATATATGTATATAAACATATACATGTTTTTTGTTATGATTTGATTATGTATTTATAATCAAATCTTGCGCAACAATAAACAGCAGCGAGCAAAGATCTCTGGCACCGATGCCTCCTCTATCTTTGTGACTAATTCTGAAAAGATTCCGATTAGTGTTACATTCACGTTCCATTGCACTGTGCTAAGACTGCACAGATAGCCTTTTGACCTAAACTTGTCAACTAAGCAGAAACTCAAAGTTTGGTCAGTCTGTATTCAGATTTTGAACGGGCTACATCCCAATTTAATAATGATGTTTTAACTTATTTGTGATTAATATAAATGATTTTAATATATTTTTCGGTGATATTAATAAATATCTGACGTTTATGAGTGATAAACTTTAGACTACTATTAAATTGTATTATATGCTTGATAGTTTATTCTTAAAATTGATTCTCAGAAAGCACTGTGTAAAAAAAAATCTAGTTTGTGACATTTTCAATAATTATAAAAACTGTTGAAAAATGTATAAAAATATCATTATACCGCAAGATCAATTATATACTCTCGATTTAAAGTGAGCAAATACAAAATTTTATTCTGTTTTTTACATTATATTCAAAATTTCTTTTTTATATAATTTTATTAATGTTTTATGTGTGAAATTAATTTTCTTTGCATATTTTTTTTTCTTTTAGTGTCTCTCAAGCATTTATTAGAGTGACTATAGAGAAATCAGATTCGCTGTATCACATCAGTGCTGTGGTTGGATGGATGTATTTTTTAGCATGGAGTGTAAGCTTTTATCCGCAAATCTACATTAATTATAAACGTAAAAGTGTTGTGGGTCTTAATTTCGATTACCTCTCACTAAATGTTGTTGGTTTTCTTATGTACGCATTATTTAATTGTGGCCTTTACTGGATACCTGAGATTGAGGTAAGATATTGCTATATTGCGTGCCTCTTATATAATTAATATATAAAGAATCCATGAAATGGATTTCTTGATTCCATTTTTGAATAAAATAAGAGCCATTGATTGTATAGAGAGAGAAGAGAGAGAAGACATTATATAGAAATAATGATATTAAAAATAAAAATTCTTTGATAAAAATACTAAACATGAATAAGAAAAGTCTAGATCAAGTCGTATTACTTTTTTTTTTTTGTAATTTAATAGGACTATTTTACTTCTTTTTAGTCTGCTAAAACTTTAATTCTTTTTATAAAAAAAAAGATTACTGATTAATTTATTAAAATATTTTCAGGATGAATATTTTAATCGATATCCAAAAGGTTTGAATCCTGTACAAATCAATGATATATTTTTTTCTCTACACGCAGTATTTGCTACTATCGTAACTATCGGACAGTGTTTCATTTATGAGGTAACTAGATATATAACAATTATATAGCTAAAACAGTTTTTTGTATGAGATCATTAAATATCATGCTAAAGATCTTATAAATTGAAATATGAATGTATTAATTTTTACTCTAGATTGGTAATCAAAGAGTATCAACGACCGCACGTATTATTCACGGAATATTTGCGGTATTTATATTAATATCTTTAATATTATCCTTCGTCCACACAATCCACTGGCTAGATTTTCTCTACTACTGTAGCTATGTCAAGCTCAGCATAACGCTTATTAAATATGTACCACAAGCGTATTACAATTATAGAAGAAAGTCCACGGTTGGCTGGAGTATAGGAAATATATTCTTAGATTTTACTGGTGGCGTCCTATCAATGCTACAAATGATACTCAACGCTTATAACTATGGTAAAAATATAAATACAGAACTAAATTTATTTTTTTGGTTTGCACACATATTCATATTATAAATTAATTCTTACGAAATATTAATATGTCATAATTTTTATCACAGATGATTGGGAAAGTATTTTCGGAGATCCGACTAAGTTCGGTCTAGGATTCTTTTCTGTGGCATTTGATATATTTTTCATAATTCAGCACTATTTCCTATACAGGTATGTATGCATGCATGCTTTAGTATTGCCTGTGCTTTGTATTTGTTTTTTCTTATCATATACCATTTTACTAAATAACTTTTTAAAGATACTGATCCTTTAGTTACCAGTAAAATAATGCATCTTACATGTGAATCATTTCTCATATTTATAAAATCCATATATATATAATTTATTAATATCTCATGTATGTGTGTACATGCGGAAAATATATATGTTTTTAACCGCATTGTATGTTGCATTTTTAGTTGCATGTTTAAAATATTTGTTATTGATTGCACAATTTTATGAACTGTTAATATAAAAGTAAATTTATTTCGAAAATTTGCTATGTTAATTGCGTATTATTTAATTAAGCATATCGAAAGATCATGTGCAATGAGTTTAATGTTCTCGCGTAAAAATGGAAAATATTCACTTACTGGATTTTCCTAATCATATATATAACTGTATGTTATCATTCCATCTAATCTACCAACTAAGGTATACAATTGAAGATAGAGTGAGACTTTGATTTTACAGATATAATGATGAGAAGGTGATTGACCTGAAGGGCAAAATATAGTGACTTCATCGAGAATTTAATTTCCTTCCTTTAACATTTTTCCATGATCCAATATTTTATACATGTGTGCGTGTTTTTATATTATTTTGCATAAATTTGTATGAGTATTTCCTCATTCGTCATTATCATGTACATCGTATATAGCTAAGAAATTAAAGTGCGTACAACGGGTATATGTGCACGCATACATGATATTGAAAGATACGCACATTTTGATATACTTTTTTTTTCGTCTCGATATATATTCCGGAAACATTCCACGGAACGTGTTTCTTTTTTTTAATTATATATATCTAGGCAATATAGTATATATTGTGTATATAGATGTATTATTCTTTTTTTTTATATATTCCGGAAACATTCCACGGAACGTGTTTCTTTTTTTTAATTATATATATCTAGGCAATATAGTATATATTGTGTATATTGTGTAT